CTTGGAAGAGGAGGGTGACGTCCTCCCCCTTTTCTTCCCCTCCTGGTGCCCTTCGTGCTCTTCTGGTTCTTGTCCTCCTCGTCCTCCTCGTCGTCCTCCTCGTCGTCCTCCTCCTCCTCCCTCCCCCCCCTCCTCCTACTCCACATATTCCTAATGCGTCTCGTCTTCCTCCTCCGCTTCCTAGTGAACGTGGTCGTCGTCCTCCTCCGCCCCCTTTGTCCTTCTGATCCTCATGTTCGCATTCGACCTCATGCTCCCCCTCCTCCTTCTCCTCCTCCTCGTCCTCGCCGTCCTCTTCTTCCTATTACGCTTGTTTCCTTTCCTCCTCCTCCTCCTCCTCCTCCTCCTCCTCCTCCTCCTCCTCCTCCTCCTCCTCCTCCTCCTCCTCCTCCTCCTCCTCCTCCTCCTCTTTCCCCTCCTCATAATCAGACTACCGTCGTCCTCGCCGCCATCCTCCTCCTCCTCCTCTTCCACCTCCTCCTCCCCTCCTCGTTCTCACAATCGTCATCGCCATCCTCATGTTTCTCGCCCTCGGTTTCCTCCTCCTCATCGTCATAGCCCTCGTGTTTGCTGTTGTACTGCTGTCTCGTCTTCGCCCTATATGACCCTTCTCATTCGCCTTCGCCCTTCTCATCTGAATCCTCCTTATCGCCCTCGGCGCCCTCCATCCTTACTCCTCGTTGAGTTCGTCCCCATCATCCCCGTCGTCGTCGGCGCCCTCGACGTCCTCGACCGCGCCCTGCCTTTAATCCACCTGTACGTCCATAGCTTGCCCCCCGTCGCCGACTCGTTCTCACACTCGTCTGCCTCCTCCTGCTACCGCTCCCCTTCCCATGTTTTCCTGAATGTCCTCAGCCTCGCCCTCGTCGTCCTCGTCGTCGCGTCGTCACCTTCCTGGTGCAAACAACGAAAGGCGGCAATCACTTGCTGCAGCATGGATCAACTTCGCCAGGGGAGGTTCTCTGGGTGTTACAAGGCGTACAAACGTCGCCTTCTACCTGCGCTTCTGCAGTGTCCAGCGGAGTGGTGGACTAGACAAAAGCACACGGTGCCGCACCCTCCCTGGGTGCTGGCAGGTGTGGAATTTTCTGAGCTTCAACAGGGCGGTTCATTGCGTCGACCCAGATCAGGCCTCGCCCTCCATTCCTGCTTCTAAGCGTGCACCCGGGATGCCCGACGCAGCGGTGGACCACGCAGACACAAACGGAACCTCACCCGGCTTGGCTGCGTACCAAACGCACAAGTCACGCGCCAATCACCGCATCTCGTTCTGGGCATCCTGTTCCATCCCGTCCATTTGAGTGACAGGATGTATCTGCCGCACGGGCAGGTCCGTCTTACGCACATCCTGTCAATTTGTTCCGTCGCATCTGATGTGCTGAACATGTTGAAACGGATGGAGCGCCCTGCATCTTCCAACTTCGCGGCCGGAGCAGCGGGGCCCATGGCCTCCATGATCTAAGGCTGGGCCCCCTGCAACATCGCGCGAGGCCAAAGAAATCGCGCGCGAAGCATGCAACTTCCACGCCCGAAATTCGTCGGGACCTGGCGCATTTCCCAGCTTCACCCCAGCTGCCCGACCACCCTGTCGCCAATGATCAAGAGGATCAGGCAGTGGCGGAGGAGCGTCTCCACCACCCCTGCCGACGGCAGACGGCCCATGACCAGACCTGGGAAGAGAGCTGCGATTGGCCGTGATCCCGTCATCTTCGTCATCATGGTGACCTCCGCCGCCTCCCCCATCGCGCCAGGTTGAACTGAATTTGAAAGGGGAGCTGCCGAGGCTTCTGACGCCTTCCAGAAATTTAACCACTAGTGGGCCATGTGAGCACGCTGGAAGCTGCGGCGACGGCGTCTCCGTGGGGAACCGGGGAATCCAAACGAATATCCCCATCTTGCGTAGCGGGGACTCGAACTCCTTGGCGTCTTGTCGTTGTGACGATCAAGGGGTGAGCTTCGGCGTTGCCCGATCCATTTCTTGATTCATGTTCCCAAGCACTTCCTTCTCCATGCGAGTGTGATTCGGGGATCCATTTTTCCCTCGATGAAAGCGGGGCTCTTCATATCCATCTCTAGCTGGCTCAGCTTCAGCATCGACCTCACTCTGGGAACAAAGCGCGCGTCTCTCAGTGCTGGCATCCATGTGGACGCGGCAACACGGCGCGCCGCGTCGGGCGTAACTCCCCCGCGTAGGGAATAAACAGAAACGGCATTTCTCCCGGGCGCTTGTAACGACCGGCGATGCCCCATGCTTCCCGAAGTAAGCCCTTGCCCGCTGTCAACCGACTGAATCTTGACCGGGGCAGGGTCACTCGGAGAAGGAGGCCGAACACTCGTGGAACGACTCTGACGGCTTTGCCCTAGTGTCTGTCCAACGGGAAGTTCTGGGATCTCGGTCGGCCATTGGATGCTGTCCGACGCCGCAGGTTGAACCTGCGCCCCTTGGCTTCCTTTCTGCTCCTGAGTGAGTTCTGATCGCAGTTCAAGACTGATTCGCGCGCTTTCCTGTTTGACCACGTTTTCTTTGATTTGCTTCGCTTCATCAGTGGCGGCGCGCCCCCTAGGGATATCTGCTGGATTGCGGTGGTCGCTCTCTCCCTTTCCTGCTGCGCGACGCTGGCAGCCCGGGCCATTCTTTCGTGGGGAACTGCCGCCACTTCCTGCTCGGCAATAGATATGGCCACTCGGGCCCTTTCTATCTCATGTTGCATCTGACCTTCTTTCTCAACGGTTTTTCTCTGCTGGAATCTCCCATTCCCCCATGACCCCCTCCCACGCGGGGCCCCCCGTGACGCCCGCGACGCCTCCCGTGACCCCCGCGGCACCTCGTCCGCGGGGCCCCCTTGACCCGTCCCCCGCGAGGCCCCAATGACCCCTGTGACACCTGTGACCCCTCCCCCCCCTGTGACCCCTCCCGCCCCGTGACCCCTCCCCCCCCCGTGACCCCCGCGATCCCCGTGACCTCCCCCCCGCGGGGCCCCCCGTGACCCCCGCGACCCCCTGTCCCCTCCCCCGCGTGGCCCCCGTGACCCCTCCCCCGCGGGACCCCCGTGACCCCTGTGATCCCTCCCCCCGCGGGGCGCCCGTGACCCCCATGACCCCTCCCCACCGTGACCCCCGTGACCCCCTCCCCCGCGGGACCCCGGGACCCCACGCGACCCTCGTGACCCCTCCCCCCCGCGACCCCCGTGACTGTTATCCACATCCCGCTGCTCCTCCTGCCCTTCCCTGGCTCTTGTTAACCTCGTTGGTGCCGTTGGGGCACGTGGCCGGGATGCTGCCTTTATTACCGCCGCATTTGTAACAAGCATGATCGCTGTGAGAGATCAATCCCTGGCTTGTTTAAGATACGCACCATGTCATCGTCATCTTGGTCCTGCAGCGCGCCGTTTAGCGTCTCCGGCTTGGCGTTAAGGCACTTATGGCCCATTATGTTCCTGACGTTGGCATACCCAAGCACTGTTAAGAGCTATCATCCCATGCTCTAGCTTCAGCCAGATCGCCAACATCGATCTTTAACTGTTGAAATGTTTTGCGTTCGCAGACAGGCTTTTGGCTCCCGCCTTCGCCTTTACCGCCCGAACCCTTCATCATCTCGGCTATACGGTTGATGTACTTCATCCGTGTTTTGTCAGGGTGGTAGCCTTTTCCTCGACCTCGTCGATCTTCTCTTCCACGGATGTAATATCGTTATCTTCAGACGTCAACGCCCTGGCCATCTTCTCGTTGTACTGAGCGCGCCCCAAAGCTTGCCAGACAGAAGCGTTGGACTTCTCTAGTACTCCCACAATTCGGCGCTACCTGCCGTGGGTTTTTGGAGAGCTGCACGGCAGCTATTCGGGTGCTTACGAAACTCTCCATAAGTTCGTTCCCGATAGTTGTGCCGGCGGTCGCGCAGTCGAACTTGCGCTTGGTGAAAATATTCTGGCACGCCTGTTTGAACTCAGTTAAATCATGAGTTACGTAGAGGCGGATGTCATCCTCGGTGACGCCAGTTGCTGCGGGTCGCCGCGGCGGCAGCGGACATGGCTCGTAGACCTTACTGGGCAGGAGGCTGAGCTGGCCCGTGGGGTGAGACCAGCTCCGCCAGCATGCAAACTCCCGAGGAGTAAAAAAGTGCATCACTTGTTCCGGTCTTGAGCCCCAGCGCCGGCGGGCGCAATGGGAAGTCAGACGCAACGCTTGGGGACCAGTCTAGGTGACGTCCTGCAGTGATGGGGGTCGGATTGTTTTACACCTCATCCTCCTCCTCCGCCTCCTCCTCCTCCTCCTCATCGGACTGGTGAGCGCGTGCACTGGAAGTTCGCGCGCATGCGCGCGCGCGCCTCCAAACGCGGAATCGTGCGGCGGCGACGGCGGCGACGGCGGCGACGGCGATGACCCTGACGACGACGGCAGACGACGACGACGACGACGACGACGACGACGACGACGACGACTTCGACCCCGACGGCGATGGCGACGACGACGACGACGAAGTTGACGACGACGACCTCGGCAACGACGCCGACGACCGACGAGCGAGCGCGAGCCTCGGCGGCGCGCGCGCTCGCCGCGCGCTGTGAGGGCTGGCCCCGCCCCCCGCCTCCCCCCAGGAGGGGGCCTCGCGGCGGCGCCGCTGGGCTCCTCGAGGCAAATCACCTCCGTGGAGGACGGGGAGAGCCACGATGGGGAGGAGGACGCGGATCTTGCCATCGCTCGGACGTCCATCTCCCGTGTATTTTTCGGTATCGTGCGCGTCTTTCTCCTCGCGGATCAAGGACGCTCATCGAGGGCCCTCGCCGAAACAAAAATGTACACATCCGAGCGATGCCGAGAGGATTGGGAGAGCCACGATGGGGAGGAGGACGCGGGTGCGGCACTGGGACGCTGTCTGGGAACGAGCAGCCAACGAATCGGGAGCCGGCCCTACCCACGTGGGCCCGATCATGGTGAGCCGCCGATGCCCGCTCAGAAGCCCAGCGACATGGTCACCGAAGAGGCTGCTAGGAAGACGCGGAGAAGGACGGGATGATGAAGCAACCAAAGCAACAGCAGAGTACCATAACCAGAAGCATGAACCCCGCCAGGCGCCGCCTCGGGCGCGCCGGGCCAGGGGATCCAGTACCGACCCGTGAGATTCGCGCGTACCTCCGACAGTTTGTTGTGCGCACCTGTTCTTCTCTGAGTGGAGGACGAGGGCAGGGATGGGCACGAGGGCAAGATGAGATAGCACGAGGAGGATGAGGGGAGGGCGTCGACTTTCCACCTCACCGATCCTGGCCAGGCCCGCCCTGGGCATGAGGGGAGGGGGCCCTGGACCAAAAAGGAACGTCCCAGTCTTCATCCCGATTTCTGACGGTCCCCCGGCCCAGCTCGAGAGCCCGACAGCGGCGAAAAACCTCCTTGAGCCAGTCCGGACCCCTGGCCTCCTTTCGGGTCGAAAGAGAAAAAGGGGAAGGGGTAGCAAACGGTCGGGCTAGCAAAAATCAGCTCACGTGGCCAGCTTTCGCGAAAGTATCGAGGAATGCGACCGGCGGCGGGGCTGAGACCAGCTGCACGCAACTGATTTCGCCCCCCTCCCTTACCGCCCCCCCCCTGCTTTCGTCCGACTCGGTTATGCCGAAATGAAGGGGCCCTGGGACTCACAAGTAAATAAACACAAATAACAGGATTCGCCATATTTTCCAACATTTTCTGGGTTTTCGTCTTCCCCCCCACATCCCATATGTTCACATATTTTCCGGGCAGTCGACGATGAATTGTGTCTGTGTGTTTATGTCCCCTCCTCCCTTACCGCCCCCCCCCGCTGTCGTCCGACCGACTCGGCGATGCCGAGGGAGAGGAGGCCTCGGGAGCCCGACAGCAGCGAAAAACCTCCGTGGCCCCTCTCATGCAGGACTCCATTCAGGAGGGGAAAAAACACACAGACACAATTAATCGTCGACTCCCAAGAAAATATGGCAAAATATGGAAGTTGGGTTGGAAGACAAAAACCCAGAAAATATTAGAAAATATGGGGCATCATTTAACTGTGTTTATTTATTTGTGTGTCCTGGGGCCCCTTGATCCACTGCCTCCACGCCGAGGGTTGGGAGAGCCCCCCGTGCCCGGCGCCTCCCCGTGCTCGTCCACCGGCACGCGCACGAAGAAGGCCCCCTTGTCGTCGTACGTGCTCACGAACCTGGAGGGGGCATGGCACAGCAGGGGGCACGACGACCTGGGACCGAAGGAAGGGGCACCCTCGCGTTCCCGGTCGGGGATCTTTCGGGGATGGACAGACCTCCCTTTAGTAAAACGTGGTTTAGTGAAAACGACCTCGGGCCCAAACCTGGCGGGCGCAAGCCTGGAAAATAACGGCCGCGGCGCCCTCTCGAGAACCGAAAACGGACAATTCACTAATCGACGTGTCACTGTTAGGAGGTCTGTCCACCCCCGAATCTTCTGACCCGGGTCAATCCAGACCCGGGTCAGCAGGAAACCCAAAACTGCAATGCAGGGAGAAAAAAAAAACTGCAACGCAGGTCTGCGCAAACCCGGGTCAGCCGATATGTGCGGCCGCCTCGCGGCCACGAGCGGCTCGCTGACCCACCCGGGTCAGCCAGAGGGGGTCTTCGCAAGATCCTGCAGGATCCGGTGCCGTGGCTGACCCCCGTCTGCACTGACCCCCGTCTCGAGGCTCCCGATCCCGGGCAAGCTGGGGCACGCCGGGCCCCGATCGGCGGCGAAAGGGGCGAAAGGGGGGTCGATGCCTCCCCGCTCGGAGCCGTCCCCCCCAAGTCGGCGCCACCGAAGCCTGGGCGCCAAGCCGAGGGGCCGCCCGCGGCCGCGCGCGCACTCGAGAGGCCCTGGGCCGTACCACCTCTTCGAAGAGCTGGCCATCGCTCGGACGTCCATTCCCTGTGCTTTTTCGGTTTCGTGCGTGGCTTTGTCGCCAAATGATCAAGGATGCTCCTCGATGGTCCTCGCCGAAGGTAAAACGCACACGTCCGAGCGATGCCAAGAGAGCGGGGCAGGGGGGGGGGGGGGGCGGTCGACCGCCCCGAAGGAAGCCGCGCGCCAGATAGGACCGATTCTTGGAGGGAGGCCAGTCGAGCAGTCGAGAGCACGGCGGTCGCCTCGAACCCGTCCCCTTGCCAGCGTCCGCAGGGTGCGCCCTCTTACGCGAAGCCACCAGATCTCGCCGGGGTGCCGAAGCACCTCGTGAAGGATCGCAGCGGGCCGCGGAAAAGTGGGAACACGTGGGATTCGTGGACAAATGCACTCCTGCGAACCCAAGGGGGAGTCCGCGGAGGGATCTCGCAGAGCTGTTCCGCGACCCCCCTGCGACATGATAGCATATTCATCTGGCATGAAACAATTCACTCGCCCTAGTGGTCGCCGTACAGGAGACTTGACTTAAAGGAACCACAACGCATCCGAAGGGTTCCCAAAGAAAACCAACAGGAACTCAAAGACCAAAGAGAACCCACAGAACTGCCGATTCCGTATGAAAGAACTACTGAGAGAATCCTAAAATAATCTCCGCGGATCCAAGCAAAAGCGCATGCATGGGGACGTAGATGGGGAGCGTTCCAGCAATGGAGGAAAACGCCCTCCTGCATTCAAGGCTGGCACAACTCTCTCTTTTTTCACCCGTCTGTGGTAGGATCCCCGGCTCTCAGCGCCCGTTGATGGAGTCGTGCGTGGGCCTCTGCGGGGGACATCGTTTGCGCCGTGGCTCTGGCGCTGGGAGCGCTATCACTTCTTCTGATTGGGGTGGCGGTACTGGCATTGCCTCATAAGCTAACTGTGGCCCTGGTTCCCACCTGCGCCACCCTTCCCCGACATCGGATCCGAAGAGAGGATGGAGAGCAGGGCGGACACACGCGCGACTGACAGGCGCGGCGGCAACAGCTAATTACTGCGGGCATGCGGCGCGCTGCGGGCAGGAACGGAAGTCTCCTGGTCAGCCACTGCACGAGGGGTTGCTGGGACGGGTCATCGTCCTGGCAGGCGCGAAGGCAATGCACCCACATTGAGCTGGAGTGGGCTGGATTTGGCCGCGGTAGAGAAGAAAACAACAGGGCCAATGCTTAAAATTCACCCCCCAAGAGTTCCGACCCAGTCAACAAGGCTTGCCATCGCTCGGACGTCCATTTCCCGTGCACGCTTCGGTATCGTGCGCGTCTTTTACCTCGCTGATCAAGGGTGCTCCTCGAGGACACTCGCCGAGAAAAAATGCACACGTCCGAGCGATGCCAAGGGATTAGAGCCGCAAGCACCGCGGACCGAAGCGCTCCATTGAAGGGGCCCTGGGACACAGAAAAAAATACACTCAAATAACCGGAGTCCCCACATTTTCTTATATTTTCTGGGTGTTTGTCTTGCCCCCCACTTTCCCCATATTTTCCCACCTTTTCCTGGGAATCAAACAAATATTTGCGTCTGTGTGTTTCTTTTCCTCCTGAGATCACTCAGCGCCGCGCTGCACGGAGCGCGAACAACGCGGTCGACTTTGGCCAATGACCCGGGTACTGTCGGCAACTTTCCGAAGCAAGCACCCCTTACGGTGCCGCTGAGAGAGGGAGGAGCCCTCCAGCCCGGACCGCGAAGCACGACGCGCGGTCGCGTCCGCCCCCCGCGGGGCGACCTGTCGGGCCGGGCGAATGGGGGGGATAGCAAAGGGGGGGTTTGAGAATCAGCTCACGCAGCTGATTTTCCCGGCGCCTCCCGGCGCCGGGAGGCGCCCATGCATCGAGGAATAGGCCTGGCGACGGGGCCGAAACCAGCTGCATGCAGCAGATTTCGTAACCCCCCCATTTCCCTATCCCCCCGGCCCGAACCTGGAGAGCGGGGCAGGATGTCCGCCGGGAAAAACTTGCATACTGTAACCCAAACTCCCCGGGGGGGCTGGCGAGGGTCCAGGTCGTGGATCTGGTATACAAAGTTCACTCTCTGGGGCGTGGCTTTGTGTACCGAAAGTGGCCCCGGGCGGTGGGATCTGACTGCGGCGGGGAGGGTGTGGTACACAAGCAAACCTTGAGGAGCGTGGGGATGCGTGAGGCGCGCAGCGAGAGGAGGGCGGATGCAGGAGCAGACCAGAACGAGCGGGCACGGCGACCTCAATCTCCGACGTTGGGGGAGCTTCGCCCAGATAAGACAACCCCGCCTGCGAGAGATGCGAAAAATCGCCTGCGAGACCCGGCGCAGCAGCACATACTGCGGCACCCTCGCCGCCGCGCTCTGTGGGGGTCTGCGAGAACCGAGCACGCCTGCACTCCAGCGGCCACTGCTTCCTCCGGGCACCCATGGAAGGGCTCTCCCTCGAGACTGATGTGGGAAGAGGTCCCCTGGCGCTTCTGCACCCTGGCGACCCAACAGATCGTCCTGTGTAAGTCGCGTGCGGCTCGCACAACTCTGCCCGCCACTGCGCAGCAGAGGGAACAACAAAGCAATACTGCAACATGCAGTACGGAGGCTGCCCACACGGCGACGGAGTCGACGAGGTCAGAGGATCACACCGTATCGCTGGTGCACTGGCAGAGCATCGGCGACATCGTGATGGAGGAACAGGGGGGATCGGGCCGCACAGCCAACGCACTGGCGATGCCGCGCGAATCTCGGGCGGGTGGCAATTCGGGGTGACCTGCATGAGGGGCGAAGAAGGCCCTGATGGGGCCCCTTTTGAGCCAGCAGGGGCCCTGAAGGGCCCTGAGGGCCTAAGGGGCTCCTGTAAGGCCCCCGTTTGGGTCGCCCCCCATGACCACCCGCCCGAGAACCTCCGACACAATCTGCTCCGGCCCCACCTGGGCGGCCCGGAAGCCCGAGCGAGAACGCAGACCGCATCTGGCCCAGCAACTCTCCAGGGCCCCTCTCTTCTGGGCAACGGGAGCTCGGGCTGCGCCTCCGCTTGAGCCTCGCGCCCCTCCCGAGTCGCCTCCCGGGGCGCTCCGCCTGGATCGCGCCTGCTCTCCCCAGCGGAGGCGGCCCGAGACCCGCGCGGACGCGGATCGGGCGGAACCGCCCGACCCCCCCCCCCTCGAGTTGAGCCGACCATTGACCGCGACAAGTCGGGCAAGATGTCCGTTGGATCGGGGGGTGGGGAGGGGGGTGGAATGGGGGGGAGGAGGGGGAGGAGGAGGAGGAGGAGGAGGAGGAGGAGGAGGAGGAGGAGGAGGAGGAGGAGGAGGAGGAGGAGGAGGAGGAGGAGGAGGAGGAGGGGGAGGAGGGGGGGGAGGAGGAGGAGGAGACGGGAAGGAGGAGGAGGAGGAGGAGGAGAAGGAGGAGGAGGAGGAGGAGGAGGAGAAGGAGCGACGAGGAACGAGGAGGAGCGAAGAGGAGCGATGGGAGGAAGAGAGAGGGGAGGAGAGAGGAGGAGGAGGAGCGAGGAGGAGGAGGAAGGAGCAGGGAAGAGGAAGGAGGAGGAGGAGGACGAGGAGGAGGGAGGAGAGAGGAGGAGGAGAGAGGAGGAAGGAGAGAGAGGAGGAGGAGGAGGAGGAGGAGGAGGAGGAGGAGGGGAGAAGGAGGAGGAGGAGGTAGGAGGAGGAGGAGGAGGAGGAGTAGGGGAGGAGGTGAGGAGGTAGGAGGAGGAGGGAGGAGCGAGCGAGGAGGAGCGAGGAGCGAGGGGAGGAGGAGAGAGGGGAGGAGGAGGAGAGGAGGAGGAGGAGGAGGAGGAGGAGGAGGAGGAGGAGGGGAGGAGGAGGAGGAGGAGCGAGGAGGAGCGGGAGGAGCGAGGAGGAGCGAGGAGGAGCGAGGGAGGAGGAGGAGAGAGGAGGAGGAGGAGGAGGAGGAGGAGGAGGAGGAGGAGGAGGAGGAGGAGGAGGAGGAGGAGCAGGAGGAGGAGGAGGAGGAGGAGGAGGAGGAGGAGGAGGAGCGAGGAGAGGAGGAGGAGAAGGAGCGAGGAGGAGGAAGAGAGAGGAGGAGGAGGAGGAGGAGGAGGAGGAGGAGGAGGAGGAGGAGGAGGGGGAGGAGGAGGAGGAGGAGGAGGAGGAGGAGGAGGAGGAGCAGGAGTAGCAGGAGGAGGAGGACCAGCAGGAGGAGCAGGAGGAGGAGGAGGAGGAGGAGGAGGAGGGGGAGCGAGGAGGCCTCCCCGACTCGCACGCAGCCGCGCGGTCCTCCGCTTGGCGCCCCCCGCAGCGCGAGCCGGGCGGCGAGCGAAGCGCCCTGGGAGAGGCGGCCGAGCAGAGAGCCGGTCGCCCGGGGAGGCCGCGGGGACCTCCAAGGGGGGCCACGCCGCGAGAGGGTCAGGACGTCGGGGGTCTTGGTGGGCCAGTTGTCCACCACCACCACCACACGTTGGAGGGGGAGGGGCTCCTCCTCCTCCTCCTCCTCCGCCTCCTCCTCCTCCTCCTCCGCCTCTTCCTCCTCCTCCTCCTCCTCCTCCTCCTCCTCCTCCTCCTCCTCCTCCTCTTCCTCCTCCTCCTCCCCCTCCAACTTGTGGTGGCGGTGGTGGAAAACAGGCCCATCAGGTCTGGGAACGCAAGAGCGCGCGCCGCGTCCTCGTCGTCGGCTGTGATGGTCTTCACACCCGTGTAGATGAGAAACGCGCCGAACACCTCCGTTCGTCCGTCGATCCGTCTGTCACGCGCGCACTCGTGCATGAAAGAATCCCATGCACTCATGGTCCAAAGACCGGCTGCCCAGTGACCCCCTCTCCTGGAGCCGGGGGCTCTGACAGGTGTTGCGCGAAGAACAATGTCGCACGCAGATGCTCCGCTGGAGGCGCCATCATAATTCCAAAGATCGATGCATCTCGGGAATCGGCATTGCGGTCGCAAACGAAACATGTGCCCCCTCCAAACCCCCTGTTCGTTGGGTCGCCGCTTCGAACACAATGTGCGCTCCCCTTATGGACTGTTTACGCTCCTCCTGTATGGGTTGTATTCTCATTGCCCTTGAAAATCTTGCAGGGCAGCAACTTCGTCGCTTCTGTAACGGGTAAATGGCGACACCAACATTGATTTGGAGCCACTTTGTGAACTCATGAGGGGTCTAATGGAGCGGCGTCGTATGGAAATTCAAAGTATGACTCGCGTACGCTGGTGCTCCCTGGCGTTCGATTTCAGCGACTGCCTGAAAGCAATGTGATCACTGGAACAACGTCAATCGCGGCCCGAAACAGAGGATTCATTTCGACGTTAAGTGTTCCTGGACGTGAGACTGTCAGCATGTATCAGGCCCCTTGGGGCCCAACGCAGCCGCATCGCACGCAAACCTATACCAAGAATGGGCCCCATCCCTGCGTGATCCCAACCGTGGAGCCCGCGGCCCCTCTCCGAGCTCTCGGGTGATCCCCCGGCCGCGCCCTGCTTTGACATGCCAAGCTTTGCTACGTCTTGCTATGCTCTGCTACGCTTTGATATGCGCTGCCATGCTTTGCTATGCCCTGCCAGGCCCTGTGCTGTGCTTGCCATGCTATGCGGCCGCCGGAAGGTCTGCAGCGATGGCTGCGCTCACGCCGAGGCCCGCAGTCACGTGAGGCGCAGCGCCCCCTGCGGGCCCCGCAGGATGGCTCGCGCCCCCGGGCGCCCCCAGCCGTGGAGCTCTGCCGCCAGCTTCGGAGCTCGTGGGGAGACCGGCGGAGCAGCGCCCCACTCGGGGGGAGGCACAAAACAAGGCGTGTCTTAGCATTAGGTGTTTGATTCTCGTTGGGGTCGTCGTCTTCTCGAGCTTCCGACGCTCCTAGACGGCCCAAGATGCCTCGGAAACCGCCCCAAAACTGCCCACAGACGGACCAAGATCGGGGATGGACAGAGCCCCCTTTAGTAAAACGTGGTTTAGTGAAAACGACAGAAGGCCCAAACCTGGCGAGCGCAAGCCTGGAAAAGAACGGCCACGGCGCTCTCTCGAGAATCGAGAACGGACAATTCACCAATCGACGTGTCACTGTTGGGGGGTTCTGTCCACCCCCGACCCATACAGTCGGAGTCGATTGGACAGGACACGCGAGAGGACACGAGACCCTTCCGAGGGCCACATGGCCACAGGAATGCAGGAAGCATGAGTCGCGAGACACAGGACGCAAGAGTACCCTTGATCTGTCGGCCTACTAATCTGGGCCGACTGTGCTGACTCACATGTCGGGAGGGGCTAAGCACCCTTGGAAGCCACAAAGAGGGCCCCTCGGCATCAAGCAGACACGCTTCAACTGGACTCGTGGCATTGCCCGAGAAAAACCCAAGTCTGGAGATCCGCCGGGTGGAGCTTCTGGCCTGCGACCGGACTGGCTCCAGCTGGGCGTAGCGTCAACCGATTATGGTGTTCCTCGTCCTGGGTGTTCCTTGAACCCTGGGGGGAGCCCCGGGGGGAGCGCAGCGGCAAGGCGTTTGAATGGATCCGAATTCATATGTTACGCATCCCGCGGTGCTCCGTCCATCGGAGCGCCGATGAGCAGTCAACAGATCCTAAATAATTCGAGATCCAGTGGAGCAGTGTCCTACGCGAATCCAGATGATCACTCGCGTTCACTCCCGTGCTCCCAAGCGTTGAACTGTAGACACTTCCAAGGCAAATGTTGAATATTGTGGGGCGACATGTTGTATTCAAACGGATACCCGCTTCCCTGGGTGAGCCCACAGCGTCACTGAACCATTATTGTTCTCGGATACCTTCACCGTTCAAAAATAGTGGATACTACGATCGTTCATTCCTTCCTCTCCGTTTTTATGTATCCACCCCCTTTCTCGCCCCTCCACCCTCCTTCGAGTGCCCTATCGAGCACGCGCCGTGCGAAACCGCGCGTCGCATCATCACCTCCGAGTGTTTTCTCCCTTCCTGAAAGGGGGGGCGGCGGGAAAGAACGAGGACGACCTGTGTACACCAGGGGTCGCCCCCCCCCCCCCCGAGGCCTCGGGAATACCCGGAAATCTTCGGAAACCCTCAAGGCCGAATTGCATCCAAAACGGAAAGAACAACGATCTTCGAACATCGAAGAAGACCGACGCTTGCGGTAGACCCTCCATCCCCGGAGGCATGTGGAGGGTCTTCGGCGCCCGCAAGAAGTCAACATAAACAAGCGGAGTGCGGAACCTCGAGAGGCGCGTGCCCTGCCCCAGCCTCCAGCGCAGTCAGGCAGCCCGCTGATCCCAGGACGGGAGCAGGGGGAGGGGGAGGTTGGGGCAGGCGATCGAGAAAACGAACACGGGGAGGGGGAGGAGGAGGAGGAGGAGGAGGAGGGGGAGAGGGACCCGCCTCAACTCTGGCTTCGGCACAACAGGTCGTGACTCCATGCAGCAACGCGCGGTACCTTATCGCACTAAATTTGAACACGCGACAGAACAAAACGATGTGCAAACAAATCGTGCCTCTGGACCTGTTGCGTTGAAGTACACCCTCGCTTGTCGCAAACTCAAACAAAAAGCTTAGTTAGAACATTTATAGCAAAATGCTTGTGGTCCTGATTATCCGTGTACATACTGCTGAAGGGAAGCCGTAAGGTCCCGGCGGAACCCATGGCTTAGATTCCGTTAAGCAGATCTGCCGTGGTAGATGCATGGAAGCCGGTCGGCCGACGGGACAGGAGGCTGGACACTTTTTCCAATTAGCAGAAGTTGCTGCGGAGTCAGTCTCTCCGCTCATCTTGCCCTGCCAACCCTCACTTGGAGGGAAGAGGCAGGGCACCTGAAGCTAGCGAGGGAAGCGTGAATAACAATTCCCCCGCGGCCTCCCGGCGCGGCATTGCCGCGCGCGGGTGGGCGCCAGCGCGCTGCGGCGCAAACCCCAAGAACAGTTCTACATCGCCAGTGGAAGGAAAGGGAGCGCCTCCGTCACCGCTGCGCGGGACTAGCCAAAGCCCCTCGGCATGTCCCACCCTGGTGGAGATTAGTGCGCTACCGCCCACCGCGCAGCATTCAGCTCATAGTGCTACCAGTCCGCTGAAAGCCTCGGCGCGCCAGCATTCGCGGGGCACTGCCCTGGGGCATGCAGGGGCAGCTTGGGGCACATCCCCGTAACTATCCCCCTGCTATGTCATCGTAACGCCACTGCGCTGGGCAATCGCGTCTCTGGTTGCCCAGGCCCTCGGTCCTGTTCAAGCCCTGCCAGCTGCTGGGGCACCGCGATGAGTTCCACGAAGACCAGCGGTCGCTTGGATCAAAGCGCCAGGGAGGACGCGGAGGCGCTGCCCCCGCATTCCGCCAGCACGCGGCGGTCCACTGTTGCCAAAGGGGAATCAGCGCCTCTCTCGCAGGCGCCTCCGTCAGCCGCGCATCCAGGCGCGACGCCTCGGTCGAGCGTGCACACATGGCCACGATTACGCCAGGCCCGGAGCTGGAAACTCCCGTCAAACGCAGCGCGCGCAGCGGTGTTCTCTGATCCCGCTCCCACAGCGTAGGCTGCGACCAGACAAAGCCTCCCGGCCTGGGTGGCCCTTGGCCCCCCCCCCGCGCTGCAGCGCGCGGTCTGGGCCCCCGGGCGCCCCCGGGCGTCCGAGCCCTCACGGGGCGTGATCGAGGCGGGGAATGGCGCGATGCACAGGGGCGCTTGCAAGTTGTTCAGGCCGGCGCTTCGTGCTCCGACGAGCTGCGGACACCGTCGGCGGCTGCGCGGCCTTCCCCTTCGTTGACCCCGGGATCGCAATCCTCCAGGGGTCGCCAGCGTGTCTCCAGCTCAGCCTACAGTTCCTGTCTCAATACGTCGAGCGTTCGATGCTCGCGAAAGGCACCGATTGTTTCGCGCCACATCCCCAACCCTATCGCCGGCAACTCAGCATTCGCATCCGAAGGGAACTGTTATCCCAGCCGAAGGGTTCGAGAGTTGAGAAGTGGCCCCCGGATGGAGTGATCCGCCGTTTAACGCATGGCCACCGCGCACGCGGTGGTACGGCAGGGGTGGCCCCTCGTTGGCCGGTGGCAGTGGCGCCCGAGAACTCTTGAAAGCGTAACCAGCGAATGCCAAGCTTCCGGGCCTTCATCTGCCTTCATTTGAAACCTTCATCCAGCGATCTTATCTCACAACCGATCCATAACCATAACTAGATACATTATGCACATCTGGCTGGCGCTACCTCGGAGCGTTGAAGGCACGACGACACTGCTCAGCTCAGCAGAAGCGAAGCGATCGTGTCTCACAATCGATCCAGAACCATACCGACACTCATTCTGCACATCCGGCACTACCTCGGAGCGCTGGTGGCACGACGACCCTGCTCAGCGGAGCAGAGAAGAGGCGATTTAATATCGTGGTCGATCCAACACAATATATACATACATGTTGCACATCCGGCACTGCCTGGGAGCGTTGGGGCACGACGGCCATGCTCACCTCAAGAGAAATGGCGCGATTGTATCCGATGATCGACACGAAGCAATATCTACATACATCCTGCACATGTGGCACTACCTCGGAGCGCTGGTGGCACAACGACCCTGTCAGCTGAGCAGAAACGTAGCGATCGTGTATTACAACCGATCCAGATTATTATCTGGTGGCACGACGACCCTGCTCAACTAAACAATGACGATGCGATTGGATCGTGTGGTCGATCCAAAACAACAACTGCATGGATTATGCAACTTTGACACTACCTCGGGGCGCTGGTGGCAGGACAACCCTGCTCAGATAGGCGAGGACGAGGCGATCGCATCTCGTAATCGCACCAGAACAATATCTACGCACATTCTGCACATCTGGCGCTACCTCGGAGAGCTGGTGGCAGACGACACTGCTCAGCTCAGCAGAAGCGAAACGATCGTGTCTCACAATCGATCCAGAACCATACCGACACTCATTCTGCACATCCGGCACTACCTCGGAGCGCTGGTGGCACGACGGCCCGGCTCAGATGAGCACGGGCGAGGCGATTGTAACTTGCGGTCGATCTGCAACCAGATGTGCATGCCTTCTGCACAGATTGAACTACCTCGGGGCGCTGGTGGCACGGAGATCCTGCTCAGCTGAACAGAGTCGAGGCGATCGTACCTTGTGATCGGTCCAGGACAGGATCGGCATACTCAGGGTAGATGGTGCGGTTCATCTCCCTCTGCATTGGTGTCCTCGGCTCGGTGCCCAGGCTCTTTTGGCGGCCTTCTCGCACGATCTGGATTGCCACCAGAAGCCCCACCAGCTACATGCTCCATGTTTTCGCCGTGGAGGCTGAAGCAAAGGATGAGCCGCGCCCTCTGTTTGGTCGCCTGTCTTCAACGCGACCAGCACTACGAATGCCTTTGCGTCCAGCTCTCACTTCTCGAACGCGCTGGCCTTTCGCCTCGTGCCGTTGGGCAACCGCGAGGCTAAGCCGAGCCGTGCCGAGGGAGATAGAGGAGGGGAGGAGGACACGGACCGATCCTCGAACGACCCCGTGTGACTGCAGTGGAGCAGCCCGCTCCCGCGGCCAAATGCATGAAGTACATCGCATGCATGAGGTACTCGCCGATGAAGATGAAGACCAGCCTGCGCGGAAGCGGGGCGCGCGGGACACTCCTCGCTGCGTTTTTGCGAGCTCCCTGACTCGGCTTCCTCATGCCCCGTCAGAGCGGAGGCGCGCAAACCCAGTACCTGCGCCCTTCCCTCGCTCTCAACTCTGTGGGCCCTCCTGGGGGCGGGCCGGCGAGGCTGGATCCGCCTCGGAATCCTGGTCAGAACGCACCACCAGCGAGGGACTCGGAGGGCCAGTTGTGACAACGGCGGTCCGCAAGACGTGGGTCCCCATTCAGGGGTCCATCCCGCCCCCGAAGGGACGAAGTGCTGGGGAGGGCCGCCGCTGTCTCGGCTGGCCCTTCTCTGGGGGACGCGGAGCAGCAGCGTCGTCCCAGGGTATGCCTGCTCCCCCACCTTCGGCGCTGGCGCCGCGGGCGCTCGACCCTCGGCACCCCCCGAAGCTGGGGATGCAGGACTCGCCATCGCTCGGACGTCCATTCCCTGTGTTTTTTTGGTTTTGTGCGTGGTTTTTTCGCCAAATGATCAAGAATTATCCTCGATGGTCCTCGCCGAATGAAAAATACACACGTCCGAGCGATGCCAGGAGGAGGGGGAAGTGTCAGGAGGCCGAGCGGGGACGACGCGAGGAGGCCAATCGTTCTCCATCCCTAGCATCATCCTGTCCTTCCTCCCCGTGCTGGCGTGGCTGCTGCGCCGTGCTCCCCTCCAATCCCACTTCGTCACGCTCCTCCGCGGCCATCCTCATCCACCTCTCCGACTCGCCGTCGTCGTCCTCTTCCTACTCCGACTCCTACTTCTCATCCTCCTCCTGATTACTCATCCGCCATCCTCCTCCCCCGTCCACTTCATTCAGTTTGTCTTTTCCCCTCAACCTCCTGCGATCTTCCTCCTCCCCGCAAGCTCACGCGCTACCAGGCACTCCAGTTGGAGAGGCCAGGGGGGGAGGGGGGCGGCGTACTTTGCCTGTTAGCGAGTTAGCATAACTGTCATTCGTGAAAGCTCCTTCTGCTGCTGCTCATCTTCCTCCCCATTCCCTGCTGCTGCTGCTGCTCGCCCTCCTGCTCATCCCTGTCCTCATCCTTTTCCTCCTCCTCCTCCTCCTCCTTATGCTGCTGCTCCTCTCCCACATGCTTCACATCTCTCCTCTCCCCGTTGCGTAACACTACTCCCGATCACGAACCGCTCGCCAGCGGCAAGGAAGGGGCTCTAGATTATCGTGCCCTGTCTTGCCCAGCTCAAGTCCCCGACCCCATGGCGGGATCCTTCGATCCGCTCTCGCCTGGCCCTGTCTGGGAGGCCTGGAGAGGAGGGACGAGGAGGCAAGCACGAGGAAGTCGAGACGGCGAGGGATACGCAGGAGGAAAAAGACGAGGCCTGTCCGACGATCCCCCCGTACCCTGGCGGAGCGGGCCCACGCCTGAAGAACACGGCGCCGCAGATGCCCAGGTAGAGCGGCCTGCAGCCGCCGGCGAGGAGGAGAGCATCGTGGGGGCACAAAGAATATACACCACCACCACCACGTCGACTGCTCCTCTCTCCTCTACCCTCCTCTTCCTCTCCTCTTTCCTGGGAGAGGGAGGGGGTGAGGGAGGTGCTGCTGGTGGTGTACATTTTTGGGCCCCCGCCATATCGGAGACTGCCAATCATGCATCGGGGACGGGAGACTGCCCCTCGGGAAAAGCGTGGGACCTGTGGGACCGCGGACTGAACAGTCACATCGCCCGACGTATGCAAGTTGGAACATTGGAGGAAGTCGGCATGCCGGCTCCAGTGACGGCCTGCCGTCGCTCGGACGTCCATTTCCCGAGCATTGTTCGGTTTCGTGCGTGTTTTTGTTACTCGATGGTCCAGGATGGTCCTCGATGGTTCTCGCCGAGAAGAGAATGCACACGTCCGAGCGATGCCAAGGGCCGTAGACGGCACAAGATGGATAAAAACACGCAACCCCACCCGAGCAGCTCAAGGGCGAATGTCTGTACGTGCGACGCCCTGCAGAATCGGTGCCGAAGTGCAAAGATTCTGGCATGAGCTATGCATGTGCGGTGTCAAGCGCGGCCCTTGCGGCGAAAAGAAAACTGATCTCCGTCGCTGTTTCTGTCTGCTGGATGGGGCTTGGCGAGCTGTAGTAGCCATCATAGTTTGGTCATCAGGTGGGCCGTACTTACCGCTCAGAGATTGCAGGCAGTTGCGTCACCTTGGAATTATCTCATAACCTGAGTTGAGACGATATGCTGCCAAACTGTTCTTCATTAAATGATCTACACCATCTGCAAGGCAGACCAACCAAGGTGGCTGTGTTCCAATGTAGCAAGGTGTTGCGACAGCCAGTTGTAACACGAACGTGCGCCCGCTGCTGTTTTGTATCGAATGTTACCGAGGGCCCCTGAATCAGACAAACTACGACAAAATCGTTTCGATCCTCATAATATGTCACACGCTCCCTGTTCTTGTTCCTTGACTACTTCGTGTCGAAAGGGCTTCGACAGTTCCAGAGTGAGCTGCCGACACTCCTCCTCCTCCTCCTCCTCCTCGCCCTCCTCGCCCTCGGTTTCCCCCTCATCCTCCTCTCCTCTTCTCTTCTCCCTCTCCTCTGCTCCTCCCCCTCGTCATTCTCCTGATCCTCATGATCCTCCTCGCCCCCCTCGTCTTCCACCTCGCCCTCCTCGACCTCCCCCTCCCCCTCCCCCTCCGCCCCGTCCTCCACCCCCTGCCGCCCCGGTTCTCCAACACCTCCGTGTCGTTGCCCCCCCTGCTGGGCGGAGCGCCGGCCCGCCGCGGGCTCAAGGGCGGCCTGTGCTTCAGGTGCTCTGGCCTCGGTGCCGCTGCAAGCGCGGGGTGGAGCAAGCGGGGGGGGGGATAGGAGAGGGGGGCGCCGTCAGGTCCGGCCGTCGCGAACAAATAGCGGCTGCCAGCTTCTCTGCGCCCTCGGATGTTGGAGGCCGTTTCCTGGCCCCGAGGCTGCAAACCAAAACTCATGATGAAAAGCCGGACCCGAGGAAAGGGTCGGGCTTTTCATGGACCCCCATGGGCCCACGTGACAAACAAATGAAGCGTCTGAGGAGGCAGGAGGTGTAGGAGCAGGAGGAGAAACATAATGAGTGAATCAATCGATGACCTGCGAGGGTGTGAGCTGAGGACTCGTTGGTCCTGAGACAGGAGAAGCACGAGGAAGATGAGAATGTGCAGGAGGATGCTAGGTTGCTGCTGACGGACCAAGTGGGATTCGAAGCCGAATCGCAGTGGCGCAAGGGCCTCTCGTACACTCGGGTTTATCCCGAGCGACCAGGTGTAACCTTTGAAAACTGCCGAACTTGGCACACCTACGACAGATTGTCACTCTCCGGAGACATCCGCCACCGTGCCGCTGGGCACGGAGTGGTCGTGTCCTCAGGTCCTGGGCACAATCCTCTTACGTAGCTAAGCCCCAGCCCTCACTCCTGCTGTAAGGGGCTTGCACCCCTCGTTCTCAAATCTTCTTGGCCCTGACACGTCTTCTCGCGTGACTGCTGCGCCCACGAGGGCCGCACAACCCAGGCACGGTGGCGGGATGGGCCGGAGGCCCACTAGATCCGCCGCCCCCTGCTTGCAGGGGTGCACGGCGTGCTGGACGAGCTGTTAGGTTTTGGTTTTGGTTCTTTTTCCAAAAGAACTCCCCAGTGGGCTCCGGCAGAACCCGCCACCGTGCGCAAAAACGGCCGTTTCGCTCGGGACATCCTCAAAAAATCGCGAAGATGGCCCAAGATGGCCTCCAAGTCCGCCCGAGATGGTCCAAGACGGCCTCCAAAACGGCCCAAGAGAGTCCAAGACGGCCCAAGACGGCCCAAGAGGCCCCCCAGAGGCCTCCCAGACGGCCCAAGAGGCCTCCAAGAGGTCCTCCAGGAGAGTCCGAAGAGGCCAAAATCATTGATTTTCCATTGGTTTTTGAAGGATTTTGGCATTTGCGCCTTTTCGGCTCTCCGACGGCTCAAGACGGCCCAAGAAGCCCCCAAGATCGCCCAAGAGGCCCCCAAGAGAGCCCCCTGATGGCCCAAGTGGCCTCCAAGATGGCCCCTAGAGGGCCCCAAGAGGGCCCAAGAGGCCTCCAACACGCCCAAGATGGCCTCCAAGACGCCCAAGATGGCCTCCAAGACGGCCCTGGAGCGCCCCAAGAGGGTCCCCCGTTGGCCCAGAAAGGCCCCCAAAACGGCTCCCGACGGCGTCAGACGTGCCAGGAACCCACCAAGATGGCCGAAGTTGGCTCGAAGCTGGCCCAAAAGGGCCCAAGAGGCCCCCAAGAGGGCCTCCAGGAAGGCCAAAAGATGCCAAAATCACTGATTTTCCCAAGGTTTTTGATGGATTTGGGCATTTCCCTTCTTTCGGCCTTCCGACGGCCCGAGACGGCCCAAGAGCCCCCAAAGATCGCCGAAAGATCGACGCCCACGTGTTCCCCGAAGGCTTTCCAAACCGACTCGGGGAACACATGGTCCGATGGCTTGGCAGGTCTGGCCTCAACGTTCGGCCACATAGGCGCTTCCACAAAGGCAGGGGGCGGCGGTGATTCGCCGTAGGCGTCTTCGATCCGCCGCCCCCTTCTGCTTCAGCAAAGGGGTGCCCGGCGTGCCAGACCCTAGTGGTTTTGGTTTTGGCTCTTTTTCCAGAAGAACTCTCCCAATGGGTTTCGGCCCGTCCCGCCAGGGTCCCGGGATTTTTTCCGCGGCCCCAATTTTCTGCCCAAGACGGCTCCAAGATGGCCTCCAAGATGGCCAAGATGGCCCAAGATGGCCTCCAAGACGGCCCCAGATGGCCTCCAAGTCCGCCAAAGATGGTCCAAGACGGCCTCCCAGACGGCCCAAGAGAGTCCAAGACAGCCCAAGCCGCCCCCAGAGGCCCCCCAGAGGCCTCCCAGACGGCCCAAGAGGCCTCCAAGAAGTCCTCCAGGAGGGCCCGAAGAGGCCAAAATCCATGATTTTCCTATGTTTTTGAAGGACTTTTGAATTTGCTTCTTCTCGGCTTTCCGACCGCTTGAGACGGCCCAAGAGGCCCCCAAGATCGCCCAAGAGGCTCCCAAGAGGGCCCCATGACGGCCCAAGTGGCCTCCAAGATAGCCCCAAGAGGGCTCCAAGACGGCCCAAGAGGCCTCCAACACGCCCAAGATGGCCTCCAAGACGCCCAAGATGGCCTCCAAGACGGCCCCGAAGCGCCCCAAGAGGGTCCCCGTTGGCCCAGAAAGGCCGCCCAGACGGCTCCAGGAACCCACCAAGATGGCCGAAGTTGGCTCGAAGCTGGCCCAAGACGGCCCAAGAGGCCCCCAAGAGGGCCTCCAGGAAGGCCAGAAGAGGCCAATAACATTGATTTGCCTTAGGTTTTTTTTACGGATTTGTACATTTCCTTCTTTTCGGCCTTCAGACGGCCCGAGACGGCCCAAGAGCCCCCAAAGATCGCCGACAGATCGCACAATAGGCCACCAAGACGGCCAAGATGACCTTCAAGATGCCCACGTGTTCCCCGAAGGCTTTCCAAACCGATTCGGGGAACACACGGCCCCATAGCTTGGCAGGCCTCTGGCCTCAACGTTCGGCCACATAGGCGCTTCCAAAAAGGCAGGGGGCGGCGGTGATTCGCCGTAGGCACCCCCTGTTGATTCATCACAGGGGTGCCTGGCGTGCTGAACTTCTTACGATTTTGGTTTTGGTTCTTTTCCAAAAGAGAACTCCCCCTGGTTCCGGCGCGTCCCGCCAGGGTCCCGGGAGGATGCCAATTGCCCGACCCAGGTGGTTCTTCCTCCCCTGAGCGTTGAGTGTCAGCCTCCAGGCCTGCGATAGCGCCACCCTCGGAGGCAGGGGGCCGGGCGGCGAGGGGGCTCCGCGGGCCTCCCTCGCCGCCCCGCACCGGGCAGGAAGCTCGCGCGGGGGGGGCCGCCTGGGTGGTCCGGGTCCCGCGGCGGGAGGCTCGGGCTTTCGGAGGTGTCGACGAGCCCTTCGCCCAGCACTCCTACGTTGAAGGGGCCCTGGGACACACGAATAAATACATGCGAATAACAGGATCCTCCATATCTTCGCATATTTCCTCAGTCTTTGTCTTCCCCCCCACTTCCCGTAGTCTCCCATATTTCCAAGTGAATCGACGATTAATTGTGTCTGTGTGTGTGCTTTTGTTCCTCCTGATACGTAGACTGCGAACCCCGAGACGCCAGACGCCGGCTCGAGGGCCGCACACGGGCTGCTTTGTGTGCCACATATGGGCGCGCTGGTGCGGCTTCGCTCCCAACGCTGCCTACGGGTCAGCTCGCGTACACTCTCTTCCCACCCTTCGAGGCCGTCCATCTCCTGGACACTCATTTTCCTGGACACTCATTTCCTGGACACTCGTTTCCTGGACACTCAGTTCCTGGACACTCGTTTCCTGGCCGTCTCTGGTAGCGTGGGCCGTGATTTCCTGGACACTCGCCCTCGCGGTCCCGCCCCCACCGCTTTCGGCGGTCGGGGCCCCGCAGCGCGCCCGCAGGGCCGTGCGCCGTTCGGCGGGCACGCCGCCCACGCGGGCCCTCCCTCTCGGGAGGCCGCCGATGGCCACTTCGCAGGCGGAGGGGCTCCGGATGGACGGGCAGGCGCGTCGACGGTGGTAACAGCCAGGCGGGGCAGAAGGTCCCCTAGTGTCCCTACCCTCCTGCCTGGGCCCCCGTTTTCGTCGTCGTCGTCCTCAACGTCATCACGTAATGGTAATCATCAGTACAATCAACAACCACTACATCCTGCTATTGGTTATCCTCTTCCTCCTTCTCTTCCTCATTATCCTCCTCCTCCTCCTCCTCCTCCTCCTCCTCCTCCTCCTCCTCCCCATCATCCTCCTCCTCCCCATCATTCTACTCCTACATCCTCCTCCTCAACATGTGTCCCGTCATTCTTGCCGTTGTTCCTTTTCCCTGCTCATCCATTTCGCCCGATCGCGACGACAAAACAGGAAGGAGTGGGAGGGGGAGAAGTTCGGGCGAGGGGGAAGATGTGGAGGGGATTTCGGGCGGAGGAGGAGAGGTGGGGGGGGCGTCCACTTTATCGCCGCAGTGGAGGAGGGAATCTCGTCTTGTCTGCCACTGGCACCTCAGGCGGGGCCAGACCTGGGGGCCACGCGTCTGGTACGTCTTGAAGATCAGGTGGAAGACAAACAAGTTGTCAAACGACAAAAGCCACTCCAGCATGTAGCCGCTCATCCTCCAAAGGAACGGGGAAAGGACGGGGAAGAGATCTGGCTAACTCTCTATTTTTCTCTCTCTCTCTCTCTCTCTCTTCCTCTCTCGCTATATCGCTCTCTCTCTCTCTATCTCTCTTTCTTCCTCTCTAAACACTTACATGCCTATACGACCACCCTTCGGGTGATCCGGAGGTTGTGGGGGGGGGAGAGGAGGGGAACCAACATCTGACTCAATCGATCTCACTATCGATCTCACTCAACGGGACACCACGGGACACCACGAGACACTTGTCGATCTCACTATCGATCTCACTCAACGGGACACCACGGGACACCACGGGCCACCACGGGACACCACGGGACACCTCTCGATCTCACTATCGGTCTCACTATCGATCTCAGTATCGATCTCAATATCGATCTCACTTAAGGGGACGCCACGGGACACCACGGGACACCCGTCGATCTCACTGTCGATCTCACTATCGATCTCACTCTTTGGGACAACACGGGACACCACGGGACAGCTCGGGACACCTCGGGGCACCACATCGATCTCAGTATCGATCTCAGTATCGATCTCACTCAACGGAACACCACGGGAAACCGCGGGACACCACGGGACACCTGTCGATCCCACTATCGCTCTCACTGTCGATCTCACTCAACGGGATGCCACGGGACACCGCGGGACACCACGGGACACCTGTCGTTCTCACTATCGATCTCACTATCGATCTCACTTTTTGGACACCACGGGACACCTCGGGGCACCACATCGAATTCAGTATCCATCTCAGTATCGATCTCATCGATCTCATCGATCTCACTATCGATCTCACTCTTTGAGACACCACGGGACACCACGGGACACCGCGGGACACCGAGAGCCACCGCCGGACGGGGGAGAATCATCTATCTGTCTTGACTTTGCCCTAGCAAAAGGCGGGACACCGCGAGCCACCGCCGGACGGGGGAGAATCGTTTGTCTTGAATTCGCCCTAGCAACGTCGGACACCACGGGACACCACGGGACACAACGGGACACCGCGGGACACCGCGAGCCACCGCCGGATGGAGGAGAAACCGTTGTCTTGACTTTGCCCTAGCAACGGCGGGACACCGCGGGACACCGCGAGCCACCGCCGGACGGAGGAGAAACCTCAGCCTTGACTGCGCCCTAGCAACGGCGGGACACCGCGGGACACCGCGAGCCAGCGCCTGACGGAGGAGAAACCTCTGTCTCGACTGCGCCCTAGCTACGGCGGGACACCGCGAGCCACCGCCGGACGGAGGAGGAACCTTTGTCTTGCTTTCGCCCTAGCAACGGCGGGACACCGAGGAACACCGCGAGCCACCGCCAGACGGAGAAGAACATGTGTCTTGACTTGGCCCTAACAACGGCGGGTTCATTCCTCTCGCACGCCCACGCAGCTGCGCCTCGCCCGCACGCACGAAACGAACGAAACGAAACGACTCCCCGGCTGGGGGTCTCCGTTCCACTGCGATCTCACCCCTCAACCTCCGATGCGGAGATGAATATTTGAGAGAGCGTGATCCACCGCCGCTTTACTGTGGAAAATTGCCAACCTTTTCCTCCGGAGCCCGGGGGTCTCCCCCCCCCCCTCCGAAATCCCCCCCCACCCCTGCTGGACCCTCCCCCCCCCTCCCCCCCTTCCCCCCCGGCAAAACCCCCCCCTCCCCTAACCCCTCCCCCCCCCCCCCCTCCCCCTCGAAAACCGGGGGGGGTCACTACCGGTTCGAAACCCCTCCCCCCCCCCCCCCCCCCCTTCGGATCCGGAAAACCGGGGGGGGTCACTACCGGTTGGAACCCCCCCCCCCCCCCCCCCCCCCCCACTCACCTACTCACCGCCAGCAAACGACTCCCGGTCCCCACCACCGTCCGCATCACATCCCCCACTGGTGTTCCCAGCACCACTGTCCTCACCACCGCTGTCCCCACTGGTTCCACCACCGCCCCTACTGTCCCCACCAGTGGCCCCACCACTGTCGCACTGTCCCCGCTGTCCCCAGAACTGTTCCCACCACGGTTCCACTCTCCCCACTGTCTCCACGGCCCCAACCACTGCCCGACTATCCCCACTGTCCCCACTATCCCACTGACTCCTCCGCTGTCCCACTGAGCTGTCCCACTGTTCCCACCACTGTCCCCACTGTCCCCACCACTGTCCCCACTGTACCTCTGTCCCATTGTCCCACCGCCGTCCTCGCCACCGCCTTCACCACTGTCCCCACCACCATTGTACCCTCCACTGTCCCACTGTTTCCACCTCATTCCCATTGTCCCCACACCACTGTCCCCACCACCACCGTCACCACCACTGTCCACTGTCCCCCCCTGTTCCCACCATTGTCCCCACCACTGTCCCCACCACTACCGTCCCCACTACTGTCCCACTCCCCACTGTTCCCACCACTGTTCCCACCACGGTTCCACTCTCCCCACTGTCTCCACGAACCCAACCACTGCCTATCCCCACTGTCCCCACTGTCCCACTGACTCCTCCGCTGTCCCACTGAGCTGTCCCACTGTTCCCACCACTGTCCCCACTGTCCCCACCACTGTCCCCACTGTACCTCTGTCCCATTGTCCCACCGCCGTCCTCGCCACCGCCTTTACCACTGTCCCCACCACCATTGTACCCTCCACTGTCCCACTGTTTCCACCTCATTCCCACTGTCCCCACACCACTGTCCCCACCACCACCGTTCCCACCACTGTCCACTGTCCCCCCTGTTCCCACCATTGTCCCCACCACTGTCCCCACCACTGTCCCCACCACTGTCCCACTGTCCCCCCACTGTCCCCACCACTGTCCCGCTGTCCCCTCACCACTGTCCCCACCAACACCGTCCCCACCACTGTCCGCACCCCCACTCGGTTTTCGAGGGGGGGGGGGAGGGGGTTCGAACCGGTAGTGACCCCCCCCCTTTTCATGATGAACTGGGGGGGGGGGGGAGGGGTTCGAACCGGTAGTGACCCCCCCCGGTTTTCCGGAGGGGGGGGGGGGGGAGGGGTTCGAACCGGTAGTGACCCCCCCCGGTTTTCCGCCAGCAGCGGTAGAACACGCTCTTTCGAATATTTGCATACGTATACGTCTCTGACTCTTCGCCTCTGTGGGCCTCCCTCGCCCTCTCTCCCTCCCGCTGTCTCTCTCTCTCTCTCTCTCTCTTGCACATGTATACATACCCATGTGATACTTATGAATTCCCTTTTCCATATGTTTGCAACCGGGGGGGGATGGAAGTCCGCCCCCACACACAAGCCGCAAGACCTCCCATACGCTAACGGGGGCCTACTGGGACGCCTCCTGGGAGCATGTTGGAAGCATTGTGGGAGTCTCTGGGACCTCTTCGGGCCTTCCTTGGGAGTACTTTTGGGGCTCTTTTGGCCTGTCTTGGGGTCCTTTTCGGCCGTCCCAGGTCCCTCTGGGCCCGTCATGGGGGGCTGAAGCTGTCTTGGGGCCCTCTTGGGGCCCTCTCCGACCATGTAGGAATCCGCCGGTGGCCCTCTCGAGGCTCCCTGGGGACTCTCCTGGGCCGTCTTGGAGCTCTCTCGTGTTGCTTTAAGCTCTCTTGAGGCCGTCTTGGGGCCCTCTTGGGAGCCTCTTGGGCCGTCTTGGGCCGATTTAGGAGACCTTCGGGGCCGTCGTGGCCGCTGTTTGCACTGAAGGAACGAATATCTTGAAAATGAGCGCTTTCGTATGGAAATGCTTGATTTTTGCCCTTGAGGGGCCCTCTCGGCGGCCTCTTGGACCGTCTTCAGAGTAGGCGCAATCTTGGGCTGTCTTGGAGCAGCACTCTGGGGCCATCTTGAGGCCGTCCCAGTGCGCTTTTCAGCCAATTTCCAGGCAACCTGGGGCGCTTTGGGAGCCCATTGGGCCAGCTTGGGGGCCTCTGGGGGAGTCCTGGGCCCTCTTGGAGCCCTCCAGGCCCCTCCGGGCCGCCATGCTAACCAGAGGTCGTGGTTCTGGGCCCTCCCCCGCGCGATGCAGCTTGGTCCTTGATGTCTGGTATGCTTTCGGAAGGTCAGGAATGTAAAGCTGAACATGTAGAGACTCCATGTTGCCTTGTCCGACATCGACGTTATAATAATATGATTCATAATCATTCCCTCATGTGTCCTCCTTCTCTTCCATATTCTCGCCCTACCCTGCGAAATCGTCCCCATGCTCCTTGGCTCTTTCTGCGGAGGCTCCCCCTTCGAGAGCCTCTTGGGGGCCTCACACAAATTTTGAAGGGCTACTTGGGGCCTTCTGGAGGCCTTTTGGGTTCCTTCTGGGGGCCTCCTCGGGCCACCCTGCTTCCAGCCGCGGTCTCCATCAACGACCGGCTCACGATTTGAATTGCTTCGGGGGGCGTCTTGTAGCCATTGTGGGCCGTCTTGGGGCTCTCTTGGGCTGCTTAAAAGACCTTGTTGGGTAAGTTTAGGGCGATTGTACGGCCTCCTGGGCGGTCTCCGAATCATAAAAAGATAGTGGAAACCAATGTTTTTCTGCGTTTCGTTAGCTTCTTGGGGGGCTCCTTTGGATTGCTTTCGGGCGTCTGGTTGGTGTCGGGGGCCTCTTGGGGCTTTCGTGGGGCCGTTCGGCCGCCCTCCTTACCGATTCGGGCCCGTTGTCTAGGCCCAGCCGGAAATTCCACAAGCCCAGGAAAGCCCGTGGGACCCTCTGCAGGGGCGTCCAGGAAACCCACATGGACACGGATCTGGGGGGGGGGGGGGGGGGCGTTTTTGTTGGGGGGGGGATGGGGAGGGTCCCATCCTATAGAATCATTTAGACAAGAACGAAGCGGGGCGAATGGAACAAGGAAAGGGAGACGCGAAGGAGAATGGACGAAGCGAGGGAGACAGGGCCAGAACAGGGAAAAGAAAAGATGAAAGCCGAGGGAGGAAGGATTGAGGCAGTGTGCGGAGGTGGGGAGGGAGAATGGCGATCTTCCCCTGAAGGTTGCGAGGCCAAGACAGCAGGATGCCCCGGCCCCGCCCCGCTGTCCACATGTAGGCGGACTGCTCGCCCTTCCACCACGCCACCCAGCCGCAAAACCTCAGAAGGTCGTGCTATCAAGTGGGCGGCACCAGCACAGCAGAGATCGCTCCGCCTTGGCCAGAACCCCATCCCTCCATAGCCATCACCATCAAACTAAACTGCCATCATGATGCCCCCACCAGCACCATCCGTGTGGCTCGAGCTATCTTGTTTTGCTCGGCGCGTCACAATCACGCTCCGTCTCCCCGCGAGCAGCGCGCGGTGGCGAGGCTGCGGCGCATCCCCAGGCCGCCACAGCAACGCCCCCGCAATCGGTGCGGTCGGTGCGCGGGTCGCTTCCTTCCCCCTGCTGCTGCCGCTCACCACCCGCCTGGGTGAAGAACGCGGGGGGGGTCTCGACCGCCGTGCGCGATGGGCTCGGAGTGCGCGGCGTTGTGTAGCATGGGGAAGCGGGCCCCGAGGGAAACGGGCCCGGGACCCCGGGGGCCTTCCCCAGGACGAGCTCTTCGTCCCGAGCCGTTTTGCGACGGCCCCAGGGCCCGTGGACGGCCCCGAGGGCTCGAGAACAGCGAAAAACCTCAGGACCCCTTTCTTGGCGGCGCGCACGAGGGGGTGGAGAGAGGGGGGAGGGCTCCTGAGGAGGCTGCTTCTCAGTACGTAGAGAAGGCCCGCGCCTTCTGAGCACCAGGGGTGCTTCTCAGAAGCCCTCCCCCCCTCCCCCCAGCCCCCTCTGCGCGTGGCTGACTTTCCCTCAGGACACCCTTCCCCCCTGGCCTGAAGTCGGGCCTGTCCCCCTACAGGCGGATTTTGGACGAAAAATCAAAAAATAAAAAAAGCACCCAACAAAAAATCCGAAAATGATCAAAAATAGTTTTAAAATTATCCCAGTGCGACCCTACCTAGGAGTTGGAGCCCCTAGGAAAGCAGCATTAGTAGTAACGGTGAAGCTAAGCTAAAGCTAAGCTAAAGCTAAGATAAAGCTAAGCTAAAGCTAAGCTAAAGCTAAGCTAAAGCTAAGCTAAAGCTAAGCTAAAGCTAAGCTAAAGCTAAGCTAAAGCTAAGCTAAAGCTAAAGCTGAAGCTGAAGCTAAAGCTAAAGCTAGGGGGCGCAACTGGGGGAACCGCGGGGCGGGGACTGGGGGAACCGCCCGGGGCGTTTTACACTGCCCGGCCCCTTTAAGCAAAGAAAGTAAGAACCCTCTAGGCAGAGCCTAGGTAGGGAATAGTCCCCCGACTATTGTTTGACTACTTTTGAACATATTCCTCCGGTAGAGGGACAGGCCCGACTTAACCCTGGCCACGGGTGCGGCAGGGCGGCGCACGCGGGAACGGCACGCGCAAGCCAGTCACCCTGCAGGCTCGGCCACGGCGCCACGGCGGTGGACGGCTGCAGCACGACGGGTACGCCGCGCCCGGCGGTCGGAGGAGGAGGAGGAGGAGGAGGAAAAGGTCGCCTTAAGCTTGCGCACTAGGGAGGAGGAGGACGAAGAGGAGGAGGAGGAGGAGGAGGAGGAGGCGGAGGAGGAGGCGGAGGAGGAGGACGACGAGGAGGACGAGGAGGAGGAGGAGGAGGACGAGGACGAGGACGAGGACGAGGACGAGGAGGAGGACGAGGAGGAGGACGAGGAGGAGGAGGAGGAGGAGGAGGACGAGGAGGAGGAGGACGAGGACGAGGAGGAGGAGGAGGAGGGCCCGCGCCGTGCTCCCCGCCAGCGCACGCGTGCTGCGCGCGGCCCTCGGCGAACGCGGCCCGGCGGCGGCGGCGGCGCGCGCCGTGCGGCGCCGCGCGCCGTGCGGACGGGGCGCCCCAGGCATCGGGCTGCGGGGAAAAACACACACACACACTCTATGGGAAAAAAAACACACAGCACACACAACTCTTGTGTTGTTTTCCCTCAAACTCTGTGTGTGTTGTTTCCCACCAACTCTTGTCGAGGCGTCGGCCCTGGGAGGTCCGGACCAGGGCTGGGCTTCAGCGTTGTGCTTCGTTTGTTGTCTTCGTTACTGAAAGGGGCCCGGGGACACACACATAAACACACACAAACAAAAAGGGATTCCCCATATGTTCCCAGATGTTCTGGGTTTTCGTCTCCTCCCCCACTTCCCAAATTTTCCAGTATTTTCTGGGGAATCGACGATTAATTGTGTCTGTGTGTTTTTTCCTCCTGAACCAGGGCTGGACTTCAACGTTGTGTTTCGTTTTGTCTTCGTTCTGTTGTTCGTTTTGCTCTGCCTGTCTTCCTGCACCTCCCTCCCCAAAGCGAAAACACAAGACACAGCCGAAGTCCAGCAAAACGGCGTTTGGGTCCAGCCCTGGTCTGGATCCCTTCCCAGGACCGGTTCTTCGTCCTGGGTCGCTCCTTGACGGTCCCGAGGCCCGGCGAGGGCCCCCCGGAGGCCGAACACTGCCAAGAATGACCCGCTCCAGCTCCATCTTTCTGGCGGCGTCGGGATCTCCGGGGCGCACACCGCGCCTGGCGGCGGCTGAGCTGGGCGGGGGGGAGCCGAAAAGCAGGGCTGGGAATCGACGATGCATCGCCGATGAGACAGCGGCAGGCCTCCGATGCGATGGTGGACGCCAAGGTTCCCTGGCCAGGTGGTGCATCCAGGCCCCGAGCGATTGGAAGCCGGTGTTCCCCGCAGGCCACCGCCGACGAGCCCGGCGCACCCCAGGGCGCGCTAGGCGCGCCGGCGGCGTCCGCAGGGCCGGGCACCTCACAGAAACGGCGGGCTCGGCCTGCAGACGGGTGGCCTCGGCAGCACGCTTCAGCGACCGCGCGAAGCTCGGCGGCGGCCGGCCGGAGTCGCAGGTCGCTGCGGGGTGAGATGCGCAAGGACCGACCGCCCCAGCATTCCTGGAGGCTTACCGCGAAAGGTTATCAGAACCCTGCTAGAATAACAAAAACAAAGGTCTTAGAACATGAAGCCGACGTGCGAACTTAAAACAGTCTCAGCCAGCAGAGATTGTCCAAGAACGTGCCGTGCAAAGTACAAAGGTTCTTAGAAGATTGTTTGGTGGGCCTGTAGGCGAGCCAAGACGCTTCGCCACTGCTTGAGTGAGGTCGGCGCGCGGGTCGGCGAGGAGGCGGCGCGCCCGTCCAAATTGGGACACGGGTGGCCCTGCTCCCCCCCCCAAAGGAACCCGAATCCAGCAATCCGAATTAAGCCCTCCAGGTGGCCGGGCACGACCGCCGGATGAGGCCCGCTGAGGGCTGCAAGACGGCCAAGGAAGCCCTCAAAGACCTCACTGCGGCCAGAAGAGAGCCCCCAAGGGTTGCAAAGAAGATCCAAGAATTCTCCGAGACGGCCTGCGAGGCTCCGAAGACGCCCCAAGAGAGGCCCAAGGATTTTGGCGTTCTCGCTCATACATCTTCTCAGCACGCCAAGACAGCCAACGAGGCCCCAACGATCCCCCGAAAAGGCCCAAGAGACTCCCAATAAGGTCCCAAAACACCCAAGGGTGCCCCACGACAACCCAAGAGGCCTCCAAGAGAGCGCCAAGATACTCCAACAAGAGAGCCCTCATCAGCGCCACTGATCAGCAGCGGGCCTCCCTCGGGCAGCCCTGGGCGCGGCGAGGTGATCGGCGTGGACCAGCACGCCTGCGAGGGGCCTCTAGGTGCGCCCAAGCGCGGGCGCGTACCAGTCCGTGCGGGCGGTGAGCGAACCGAAGCTGGAAGCGACGCGCACGCTGTGCACCTCGTCGGCGGCCACCTGTCAGACCAGAGTCTCCTCCTTCCCTTACTCCTCCTCCTCCTCCTCCTCCTCCTCCTCCTCCTCCTCCTCCTCCTCCTCCTCCTCCTCCTCCTCCACCTCCCCCTCCTGTCTCCTATCTCCTCATTCCCTTCTTCATACCTGCTACACGCAAGAGTAATCCTGGATAAGAGTGACCTTTGGTGTGCGGCTTTTTGGGGGCCGCAAGGGGGACCAAACCCGAGCGCGCAAAACGCTGCTATCGCATCGCGATGGGCGATCGGGAGACCTCATCGGGCCCACACTCAAGGACACTCAAGGACACTCTGGCAAAGGGTCACTCTTCCGAGTAGTTGATCATACCCCTCCTCCCTCCTCCTCGATTCGACTGGGCTCTCAGCCCCTGAAGGCCAGATGAGAAACCGGTTCGGACCAGAGCAACGTCGGACGGCGAGCAGCCCTGCTTAGCCCCCCCACTTCGGGCCAAGGAGTACGGCGCGACCAGTGTTAGGTCGGGCCTGTCCCCCTACAGGGGGATTTTCGACGAAAAGTAAAACATATTCAAAACATATTCAAAACATACCCAAAAATACTCAAAACATTGTCCCCAGACTATAATTTGAATATTCTTGAATCGTTTACCAGCCTCGAACGCATCCCTATCCCTAAGATTAGCAAGCCAAAAGTCGACGACAATCTTAGGGATGCGCCCTCAGAAACGGAGGGAATCCCTAAGATCGGCATCGCGATGAGGCGATGCCAATCATAGGGATAGGGACATGTTCCAGGCTGGTGAACCGTCCCCCTGTAGAGGGACAGGTCCGACTTACGAAGATTTTCGACGAAACATAAAAAGATATGCAAAACATATTCCCCCCCCCCCCCAAAAAAAAAAGTCAAAACATAGTCCCCAGACAATTACTCGAATATTCTTGAATAGTCCCCCCGTAGAGGGGCAGGTCCGACTTACGACCAAGGGCGGCCTCGACGCGAGCAGGCCGCGGCCCCGCGAGCGAGGCCGCGCGGGTCACCCAGCGCCCCAGCGGCCGACGCGCGCGGGCCACGCGCGGCGCCACGCCCTCGGTGGCATCGTCGAGCCCAGGCCTCGGGGGCCTGCTGACCCGGGTCAACCCAGACCCGGGTCAGCAGGAAACCCAAAAACTGCAGTGCAGGAACAGAAAAAACTGCAACGCAGGGCTTCGCAAACCCGGGTCAACCAAGATGCGCGGCGGCGCATCAAGCCGCCAGCGCGTTGCTGTCAAGACGAGATCAGATGATCGCAGCGAGCGCCCGCGAACTCACCTGCGTCTCGTCGATCGGAAGTTCAGTAGCTGTACAACTTAGAATCAATATGGGCTGTCAAAGCAAACAATGACAGGCTGAATGCATTACGCTCATGTGCGATGTCTCGGACAGGTCTGCCACGTTCCGTGCGCATACGTCTCTAGTGTCGAGACGAATATTGCTGGAGCGCACTGGAAAACATGATCTGAACCAAGGTTTCTTCGCGCCCCAAAAATTCTACCATGCAATTGCGGCACTGCCGAAGGATTCTCCGGGCATTGTTCCGCCACAGATCCACTTCTGGAGGGCACTGGGGACTGAAAACGGACCCAGGGAGGCCGATATAAATATATATATATATATATACATATAGGAGAAAGCGCCGGAATTGCAAACTCAGTCCTTCGGAACCCTGGGGATGATGGGGAGTGGGAGGATGGAAAGGAGGGCTATGAGAAGACAGTGCAAGATCAGTCAGCATCGAATCGTGAATTCTAATCGACTCGGCCTGCATCGGCACGTAGGCGGAGTCGAATCGAATCGGCCGCGCCCAGATGCACAACATCACCATACAAGCATCCCCAGCGACGCATTGAATCGAATCGGATCGGGCCAGCCAAGAGTCGACGTCGAATCGGATCGATCATGTCGCAATGGGCAATGAAAGGATGGGGATGGTACTCTGGGCGCGCCGAAGAAGCGGGCCAGCAGAGGGGGGTTGACGCGTCATGGCCCAACGCATGTGCGCGGACGAATGAGGGCCAGCGGGCTTACGGAAAGGAGAAGAGCGGGACACCACATCAAGGAGACTTCATGGGCCAAGCCATAATGTCCCCCCACTCCCTGCGACCCCAATCCTCGCTTTCGACGCCCCCGATGTCAAAATTCCACTCGCGAAGGACCCAGCAATTTGCATCTGTGAGTACCGCGTTGTGGACAACGCTTTCGGTGGATCTCCTTCAGGGGCCACGAAGCGTGTGAGGGGTAAGCCGACTGGGACCTTCGGTGGAGCTCCCTATGGGGCCACGAAGCGTGTTAGGGGTGCGCCGAGATGGGCGCGGTACTATGCGAAAGCAGGCCTTCGCTGGGGTCTTCGGCAGAGCTCCCTCTGGGGCCAAGAAACGTGCAGGGCGTGTGCCAAAATCGGTGTGGTGGTGCCATGCGAAACCAGCCGCTGGGGCCTTCGGTAGAGCTCCCTATGAGGCCACGAAGGGGTTTGGAGTTCCAAAACGGTGCGGTGACAGACCGTGCGGTGACCTCGGCATCCCGCAAGACCTCACCGCACGGTCCGTCACCGCACGGTCTTGGGACCCTGGAGGCCCCTGTCGCCCGAGACATCCTCGGAGAACGACCCGAGTCCCAAAACCGTGCGGTGACCCCGAATCCCCACCGACTCACCGCACGGTGTGGTCACCACCCCGTTTGGGGGCCCCCGAACTAGGTGCGGCAACGCCATGCGAACTCTGCCGCCGGGGAGAGTTCGGTGGATCTCCTTTTGGGGCCACGGCACGTGTGATTGGTGCGCCGAAACGGGTGCGGCGGCGCCGCCATGCGGACCCTGCCGCTGGGGCCGTCGATGAAGCTCCCCATGCCCATTCGGGCACACCCCTCACTGAGGGGTGTGCCCGAATGGGCATGCGGAAAGCAGAAGCACGATGTGATGATGATGATGATGATGATGAGGATGATGATGATGACGATGATGATGACGATGATGATGATGATGATGATGATGATGATGATGATGATGATGATGATGATGATGATGATGATGATGATGATGATGGTGATGATGGTTCACCTACTGATGCTGATGTTGATACTGATGGTGATGATGCGTATCATGATGATGGTGATGTTGATGATGGTGATGATGATGACGACGACGATGATGATAACGATGATAATGATGATGATGCTGATGGTGGTCATGACGATGATGGTGATTATGGTGATCACGATGATGATGCAAATGATGAAAAAGACGATGGTGTTCATGATTATGAGGATGATAATGACATAATGACAACGACGGTGATGATGACGAGAATGATTATGATATTGGTGATGACGATGTGAGTGAAGATAAAGTTGCTGCTGATGGTGACAAGCATAACAATAAATAATGATACTGGTGCTGATGATGATAGCGACATTGATGATGTTAATAATCGGTGAGGATGATGGTGACGATGATATTGCTGACGATGGTGCCAATGAGGACGGAAATGGTGATAAGCAGGATGGGGGGCGGGGGGATGGGGAGGAGTGAGGAACGCGGGGCGCTGCTGATCCAAAAAGGCAGACCCAACACCACAAGAAGATGGCTGGAAACAAACGATGGTGAGCCGGGGGGCGCGCTCCGCGGATCGAGCGAGGGGCTCCCCCGAGCGCCGGGCGCGACGGCGCAGCATATCCAGAACAGCGTGTACAGGACCGCCCCGGTGATGGTCATCGCCCCCGGGTACCTTCGGGGATGGAGAGGCCCCCCATGTAGTAAAACGTGGTTTCGTGAAAACGACCTGAGGCCCAAACCTGTCGGGCGCAGGCCTGGAAAATAACGGCCGCGGCGCCCTCTCGAGAACCGAAAACGGACAATTCACTAATCGACGTGTCACTGTTGGGGGTTCTGTCCACCCCCGATACCTGGGCCACGGGCTCGAGGATGGAGGAAACGAGGGGGGGGCGGAGAAAAGGAGGAGGGAAGAGGCGGAGGAGGGATATCGAGGGCCGACAAGGTAGGAGAGGGAGGGAGGGAGGGAGAAGGCGGGCATTGGCAAGGGCCGGATCCCGTCTGGTGGGATTTCAAGAATCCGTGTGTTTTTTACGTCGGGATTTCAGGATGCCACGCTTTGGAAACCCGATCGGACAAGAGCCAGAAGCGCAGACTCTGTCAATTGGGCTCGTAGGGGGGGCATAAAGACAAGGCGGCGAATGTCGAGGATGGCAGCGTGGATGACGGGGAGGGCAGCGAGGGGGGCAGAAGGACAACGAGTAGGAAGACAAGCGCGAGAACGAGGAAGAGATGGAGGAGGACGAGCACGAGGAACAACGAAGCGGAGGCAGAATGTACGCAGGGTGATGGCCTGGTAGGGGGGGGAGGGGGGCGGCGGAAGGGCACCAAGCCGGCGGGATACCAAGCCGGCGCTTTTTTCTTTTCCTCGCAAGCGATCATCAACAAAAACTCGGTGGCTTGACCTGCAGCGGCAATTCAAATGTCACGGAATACCTCTTCGAGGTGCTGAAGCAATGGTGCAACATTGGATGATCACTTAGCTTTAGTGGATCAGTGCCGGCTCGTACCGGTGCTATGATTGCTGAACGCAGCGGCTCCTGCAGACCTTGCGTGCCGGAGCAATGTCAAAGCGGCGCCGCAGCTATGTGCACGGGTGCATTGACACTGACTCGACAGAAATGGTTGAACTGGTGGTGGCGCCACCCAGGCGCAGGTGCAGCGTGCCGGCAGACGCCGGCGAGAAATGGCAAGGCATAGGCGACAGGAGACAAGCCCCTCAGGGCGAGGAGGGCAGGGAGAGGGAGAGAGGGAGAGGGAGGAGGAGGGAGCACTCCAACAGAAGACGTGAACGGAGATCGAAGCGGCGCTGGCTTGGTAGGGGGCGGGTGGCGGGGCGGTACCAAGCCGGCGGGGTACCACGCCAGCGGCATCGCGAGAGGGCATGAGGAGGGGGGGAAGCTCCCAGATACCAAGCTGGCGGGGTAATACCAAGCCGGCGCTGGCCTGGTATAGGGGGCGGGCGGCGGGGAAGGGTACCAGGGCAGACACGGTCCGCGGGGCGACACCAGCAGCGAGTCCTGCCCAAAATGAACAGGGGCTGCTGTTGGACGTTGTACCCGCTCTTTCCGTATCCATGTCGGTCGCCCCGAAAAAGCGAAGACTCTGGTGCATCCTTGTGCTCCTCAGGTCTCCTCCGCCAGCGCGCCCGGTCGCCGATGAAGAACTCCAAGGCCTTCACCTCCTCCTGGGCGGGGCGCGCGCGAGACGCGGCGGCGGCGGCGGCGCCGCCGACGCCGCAGCGCTGCTCGAGGCAGCCTCCGCCGGCGGGGGTGCCGGCCGCCACTCCTCCAGGCCCAGCTTGTCCCGAGCGGGCGTCCGTCTCCTTCGGCTGGCGTTTCTGGGGACGCCTCTCCGCATTGGCCTCGACCGTCGACGGGGTCGCAGGCGACGCTGGAATCAATACCAGCTTGTTCATCACCTCCAGAGCAGCAGGCGGCTGCCGGCTGTGCTGGGGGCGTCGCGCGCGGGACCTCCGCACTTTTGCCCACGGGCGGCGCTGGCGGCATCGGGCGCGGGGAGCCGCGCCTTCGGACTTCTCGGGCACCATCGGGAGGCGGCCCCACGGCAGGACCGCCTGCCGATGATGCACCCGGTCAAACGTGCGAAGAGGTGGGACTCCCACCTCTTCATGCGTTTGACCAGGTGCACCTCCGGCTCCTGCTCCAGCGGCAGGGAAGACGGCGCCGAGAGCTGTTTGCACGGCCGTTCCCTGCTGAACTCCCTGTCCACCACATCGAACGGGCTCCAAATCCCCAGCGAAGGCGCTATAGGAGGAGCCATAGACAGCTCTGGCGAAGATGACGATCTCGAGTTCGTCGATGGAGACATGAAAACGAGTGCCCAGCAAAGCGCCTAGCAACTCAAACGGCATAATGAAACCCACGTGCCATGGTCAGCCACCGTAGCCTTCACCTACTATTGCGCGACGCCATGGGCACCGCACCTCAAGGCGCAGCGCACGTTAAACGGGAGGCGGACGCAGGAAATGCCTGAGTCCGAGCCTTGAGGGGGAGGAGGGAGGGAGGACGAGAGGGAGGGAGGGAGGAGAAGAGGGAGGAGTGACGACGAGAGGGAGGATAGTGTAGTGAGCGAGGATCGAGAATTCAGGCTTTTGGATGGTATCGGCCCCTCCTCCGGCAACCAGCGGCCTCCATGGACCTCTGGACGTCCCGGGGGTCGTGGAGACGCCTGGGAACCTAGAACTGACTCCAAGTGTAGACCCCAAAACAATCAGTTATTGCACCCCGGTTGTGTAATGTATGGTGCACGCTACGTGGTGTAAGCCATGTGGTGCAGTATGGCGCAATCAATGAATAAATATGTATATATATATATATATATATATATATGTGGTGCACGCTACGTGGTGCAAGCGATGTGGTATAAACTTTGTAGTGTTAGCTATGCCTTGCCGGTGTGTGCTATGCGGTGCAGGCTACGTTCGGGATTTAAGCTCGGTGGTGTGAGCCATGTGGTGCAACCTATGCGGTGCAAACGCTGTGGCGCTGTGGCGTAGGATATGTTTGTGGATGCCATGACAATGGACACTCTAACAGTCCTATCATTGAATAAAAGATGTGTTTAGCATGTGTAAAACCTGTTCTAAACATGTTTCAAACTTGTTTTCTACAGACTCAAAACATTGTTGAACCATCTTTTAGAGATCTGGAAATGACTTGGCAGCATGCTCCCTCTCCAGTGACATCGTCCTCCACAGAGGCTGTGTGGTGTGAGCCGTGGCGCAAACCGTGCGGCAGAAGCTGTGCGGTCCCAGCCGGGCGGCAGCCCCGCTCGCGAGGCGCCCACGAGGCGGCCACGGGCGGGCACCGAGGCTTGCGAGAGGGAAATGGTCGAGAACTCTGGGACGGACGGCTGCGTCCAACTGGACATCGAGCCGAAAAAAAAAAAAAAAAAAAAAAAAACTCTGGGGGGCTGTCGCATCGAAAAGCTCTGGCACCGTGCCCCCTGGCACGTTGCGGCACACTGCTCACTGCTGCCTAGCACAGCTTGCTCGACTCTTCCCAGAACCACCAGATGCGTGCACAGCCCCGAGGCTCCTTGGGCAGTCCGACGCCTCCCGGGATACGTCCGAGGCTCCCCAATGGGGACCCAAATAATATACACCATCACCACGTCGATTCCTCCTCTCTCCTCTGCCCTCCTCTTCCTTTCCTCGTTCCTGGGATCGGGAGGGGGTGAGGGAGGTGGTGGTGGTGCATGTGTTTGGGCCCCCCAACCCAAAGCTTCCAAGACGGCCCAGGAAGAAGACCACCATGGTCGCCAATCGAGAGGGCCCAGACGGCCAAAATTGCCCCAAGAGGGCCCCGAGACGGCCAGGGAGGGCCCAACAGCAGGCCCTGGCCTGCTCGACACGGAGCCGACCGAGGATCTGTCCGCGGGCCAGCGCGGCGGGCCCACAGGACACCGAAGAGGGCCCCCGAGGGCGCCCTGAGATGCCCAAGGCGCCCAAGAGAGCCATCGCTCGGACGTCCGTTCCCTGTGTTTTGTTGGTTTCGTGCGTGTGTTTTTGTTCGCCGAGTGGTCAAGGATGCTCCTCGATGGCCCTCGCCGAAGGAAAAATGCACACGTCCGAGCGATGCCAAGCAATAGAGCCCCGAGACGGGACAAACGGTTCCCGTGAGAGTCCCCTGGGCGGTGCTCGCACGGTGGCCACACGGAGGGCGTCGCTGGCACCGTGGCGGATGAGCCGCAGGCACCTGGATGGGTTCGCTGGAGATCGGGTCCGCAGCAACCTCCGACTCCTCCGCCACTCTTCATCCACCAAACGTCCTCCCTGCTCAATCATGTCACTCTCATCCCCCCCCCTCCCCCCCTCCCCCCGTGCTCCTTCCTCACACCCCATTCCTCATCCAGACTCATCCAGTTCTCGTCCTCCACGTTCTCGTTCTCCTGCTCCTCATGATCGTCTGACTCCTTCTCCTGCAACTGTTCCTGCTCCTGTTCCTGCTCCTCCTCCTCCGTATCCTCATTAATTGGTATTCAATGTCAAGTCAAACCATTCGGCATCTGCCCTCACACACGGGAAGGAGAGAGAGGGCAGCCTGTTCAGCACCACGTTGTCAAAGATAATGAGGAAGGCAAACACGCTGGAGAACAGCACCCACGCAGGCCAGTCCTGTCGGCACAATGAAAGAGGAGAGGGAATACAGGAGGAAGGAGAGAGGGAATCAGGTAAAGGAAAAGGGGTGAGAACACAGAGAAGAGATTCCGTCATGAGCGAATGCGAATGGAGAAGACAAGAGTCTCATACTCCTCGTTCTTTCTCCAAGCCATAGGTACCATCTGCGCCGTGTTTATCATCGTTTGGACTTCGGTTGACCTTCTTCGGGCTTTCGTCCTCGCATCCTTACGATTCTGGCCTAGATCATGGTCCCCGGAGCCGCGGAAAGTGCCACCAGGCCGGACGACCCGTGAGCAACTATCCACGGCCACTTTCCAATATCTGGATGTGTGTTATTACCTACCTAGGCTCTGCCTAGAAGGGTTCTTACTCTATGTGCTTAAAGGGGCCGGGCAATGGTAATCGCCCCGGGCGGTTCCCCCGGTATCCGCCCCGCGGTTCCCCCAGTTACGTCCCCTTAGCTTAGCGTGACTTATCTCATCTTAGCTCAGCCTAGTTTAACTTGGCTTAGTTTAGCTTAGCCTAGCCTAGCTTAGCTTAGCTTAGCTTAGTGTAGCCTAGCCTAGCTTTGCTTAGCGTAGCTTGGCTTGGCTTGGCTTAGCTTAGCTTAGCTTAGCTTAGTCTAGCCTAGCTTAGCTTAGTTTAACTTAGCATGGCTTAGCTTAGCGTACCTTAGCTTACCTTAGCTTAGCTTAGCGCAGCATAGCGCAGCGCCGAAATAGCACAACATCGCATAGCATAGCATAACCAAGCACAGCATAGCATAGCTCAGCATAGCATAGCATAGCATATCATCGCGCAGCATCGCATAGCATAGCATAGCATTGCTGAGCATAGCGCAGCGCAGCATGGCATAGCACGGCACAGCATAACATAGCATAGCGCAGCATAGCATAGCATAGCAAAACACAGCAAAACCAAAACACAAACAGCGCAAACGCAACAGCAACCGCAAACACAAAAGCAAAGGCAAGGGAATGCAAAGCAAACACAACACCAATGCGAAGGTGTAGATGTAGATGTAGATGTAGGTGTAGGTGTAGCTGCGGATGTAGGTGTAGATGTAGATGTATATGTAGATGTAGATGTAGATGTAGATGCAGATGTAGATGTAGATGTAGATGTAGATGTAGATGTAGATGTAGATGTAGATGTAGATGTTGATGTAGATGTAGATGTAGGTGTAGATGTAGGTGTCGATGTATATGTAGATGTGAGTATCGCTGTTGATGTAGATGTAGGTGCAGGTATAGATGTTAATGTAGCTGTCGGTGTAGATGTAGATGTTGCTTTCCTAGATGCTCCAACTCCTAGGTAGGGTCGCAAAGGGATCATTGTTCAAATGCGGGAGCCCTCCTTGCGAAGGCAGCAAGCTCCATTCATCGAATGGTCCGCTTATAGGCACTATCTTGCATGCAGGATGAAGAAGATGGGGAGAGGGACGGATGAACGGACGAATGAACACCAACTGTCGTCCTGGAGGACAGCCCTAGAAGAGCACGGCGGTGGCGCTGGAGTGCTACTAGCACGTTGGATCCACGATGCCCGACAAACGAATGCACACATCAGCGTCAAAGAGAGGATGACGACGGCGACGACGGCGAAGAGCGAGGAAGGAAAAAGTACAGGCCTCCTAGATGGGGTCCGAATACATGGGGTCGAAGGGTCGCGCCGCATCGTCAATGCATCGCCGATGTATCGGCGACGTCGGCGATGCATCGGCGACGTCGGCGTTGGGAAGCAGGGTCTCCACATCGAGCCGCATCGTCGATGCATCGGCGATGCGGCCCGATACCCCAACCCCATGTGCTCGAACCCCATGGCCTCGAGGAACGGAAGGCGGAGAGGAAATTCGTCAGAAAAGCCCGCGGCACGCCCGCCGACGCGTCGGCCGTCCTCGTAGCGGAACAGCGTGTAGTGGTTGTCCTTCGCAAAGGCGGCGTTGAGAGACCACTGGAACGTCTCCTCCCGCCACGGGCATCCTCCATCCCTCCTCCTCGCCAACCTCGTCATCCCTTTGCTCCTCATCGTCTTCCTCCTGCTCCTTCTGCAACTCATTTTCCTCCTCTTTTCCTCCTTTCCTCCCTTTCCTCCTCGCCATCCTCGTCATCCCGTTCACCCTACGCTTCCACATGTCCTGTTTTTCCGTTTCCTGTTCCTCCTCCTCCTACGTCATCCACTTCCTTGTAAACAAGTGTCGCACCCCACGACGCGTCGGTAGGGCAAGCCGGGCGTTTCGTCTCAGAAATCCTCGCCGTTTATGCTCTTGCAGCTTCCAAGTTGCAAAGGCCACACGGATCGAGGTGGGCTTGTTTTGAACATGATAATATTGCCCGAACGCCGCGCACATTGGTCTTGAAAATTTACGTCTGTCCCAAAGATGGAAAGGGGATTGCTCCAAACAGGAATTCTCGCCTCAGCGCCGCTCGAAATCGTCTTGAAAAGCTGCAGCAGCTTCAAAGGTGGTGCGTGGGTGGTTCTTGCACAAGCGCCGCGCAAGCTCAAAGTGTGCAACGGCTTCATGGCTGGAGGGAGGCTCCTTTTCCAACGGAGCACCGCGCACGTGTCTCTTTGACGATCGCATCATTCGTTTTTGAAAGATGGCAAAGGGGGTCGTTTCAAACATAGGATTATGGCCTAAGCGCTACGCACACCCTTTCCAAATTGAGGTTCTCACATAAACGCCGCGATCGTTCGTCTTAAACGTGTGCAATCCCTTCAAGGGTGCCGGCCGTAACTTTCACCGAAGACTGTAGTTGCCCTGCGGGTGGGCGGAATCGGGGGGAGGAACCGACGCGGAAGGCTACATTACCTTCGTCCTCCTCCTCCTCCTCCTCCTCCTCCTCCTCCTCCTCCTCCTCCTCCTCCTCCTCCCCCCCTCCTCCTCCTCCTCCTCCTCCTCCTTCTTCTTCTTCTTATTATTATTATTAGTATTATTATTATTCTTATTATTCTTATTATTCTTATTATTCTTATTATTATTATTCTTATAATTCTTAGTATTCTTCTTATTAGTATTATTATTATTCGTCGTCTTATTCCTCTTATTCTTATTATTCTTATTATTATTATTGTTCTTCTTCTTATTATTATTCGTATTATTATTATTATGATTATTATTATTCGTATTCTTCTTATTAGTATTATTATTCTTATTATTATTATTCGTCTTCTTCCTATTCCTTATTATTATTCTTATTCTTATTATTCTTATTATTAGTCTTATTAGTCTTATTCCTTATTAGTCTTATTATTCTTATTATAGTGTTCTTCTTATTATTCTTATTCTTATTATTATTCTTATTCCTATTATTATTCCTCTTCTT